TTTTATTTAAAAATAATTATCATCGCATTATTTGTCGATCATCATTTAATAAGTTTTTGAAGTTTTATTTTTAAAAATGCAACAGTGAATGTTTCTTGGAAAATCAATCACAAAAGAAGAATCCAAGTTTCATTTGGAGCATCTGTTACAGGAATGAAAATAAGCAGAGTTCCCATAATCAGGATACTTTTTCCTCAACATCTTCTCTCCCGTTATTAAAATCAGCCACAGATAGAGATTTGGAAACACGGAAATTGCTCGGAAACCAATCCATAGACGCATCTTGCTCAAATAAAACCGAACCTTTCAGTCAATACTTTCACACTGACAGTAAAGAAAAGGATGAAAATATTTCCTTGACAAAATTGCCAAATGTATAGCATCACCTTCTTGATAAATTAAAGGATAAATTTTATGACATTGCAACTAAAGACTTGTGGCTTTTGAATAAAGAACATAAAAAACATTTTGCTGAAAACTCTGGCATCATTAATATGTAGATCATTATAGATTCGTCATGTGGATGCTGGATGAAAATAAACGCTTGCTTCTTTGGAATGAAATGGAAAATGGTATGATGTACTTGAGATCCAATTTAACAGAAGGTTTTACAAATTACTTTATTCATCCAGATAGGCTATGTTATATCATGGAGGATAATTTTAAGATGGTGCCTGTTGATGAATTTAAACGTCAAGCTGAGGAAATGGGCGATATGATTTGGGAAAATCTGGTGGAGGAAAACACAGAAAAGAAGAGAATGAGAAATAAGAAGAATAAGAATAATAATAGGAAGAATAGTTTAATAATCACTTAAAAGAGATAATATCAAAGTTAAGATAATTAAAATATTGCAAAACTTTATTATTAAAAAATTACAACAATAAAATTATAAACTGCATTCTGCATTCATTTACATAACGTGGCTGCAGGTTAAAGCATTTTCAGGTGGTCTATACTAGGTGGCAAACCGTATGGGAATATGCTTCTAGACGAGTTGTCATACCCTTAAGGGATCGGAGACCTAAAGAGGTAACCTAACGTAGGATAAAACTTGTCCTATTTAGGATATGCCTTAATGGTAAATAACACATTTACAATGCATCAAATAATCAATCCAATGATTATAAAAGTTTTGATCATGGTTTAATGCGGTGGTCAAATCTATATTTCCGAATACGTATCTGAACGACAGCTTAATGTTCAAAAGATTTTTTAAAATTTGATTGATTCAGGATAAGGGAAAATTTAATAATTGGAATGTCACTTTCAATGGAAAAATAACTTTGTTAAAAACAATCAAATAAAAAACATTTTTAAATATTACTTGTATACACTATGCAAATATAATTCCTTGAATTTTTGGAGTGATGCCTTGATTTTTTAACATCATTACGAATTGTAATATTCTTAATAAATTCTATGTAATTAAATAATGAAATGATTTCATTCTTATACAAAATGTTTTTGGACTCTTTAGGAAAGCAAGCAACTAACGTATCATAACTTTGGATGTGTTTCCATAAAATTCTAACAGACACTATTAACTAATAATGAACCATAAATTTTCATCTTCTAAATGTCAAGGAAAGTCAAGTTGTAACAATCTACTTTTTAATATACTTATTTTTTAAAAAAAAAATAAAAGAAATTTGGGAAGAATCATTTTTTTCCTTATTTTTTTTGCTTAAAGGTAGAAAATTCTAGGATAAACTGTATTTACTAAATGCATTTCAGAATAATTGAAATCTATCAGAAAAAGAAATCTGCAATATTGGAAAACAATTCATTACTCAACTCTAAAGCACATATATACTAATAAATTCATATATTACCCACTTACTAATTGTTCGCCCGTGATGTTTCATATTGATATATTATCGGATTCGCTATCAGAGTTGAATTTTCCGTAAAAATATCAACATGACGCAATTACTGTGATATATCAAACGAAAATCGTACCGCAAAATATTTAATATATTTTATTTAATAAGCTTGATATAAAAAAGCATTTTTAAAAATATTACATTATTGTAAGCTTTTATTATTATAAATAAAATTAATTAAAATAAATGTTAAAATTTTGAAAGTGACAATTATTAAACATCGGAGCCTTTTTACTAATCTTGTGATTCAAGTGAAAAGATTGTAATGGTTTCTTATTGTAATCTAGAAGTTGTTGCACAGGAATAAAAATTTCCTTTTTAATGTCAGTATTTTTAGATGTTTTAGGTTGTAAACATGGATTGTTTAAAAGTTCACGAGCAGTATTAAATTTTACGGTCTTTTTTGATTTCATTTTTTAAGAAATAAAATTAAAAAAAACAGTATTTTTACGTCACAATAACAAGTTTTCTTATCACGGGCGTTAGTAATCGGGAAATATAATTGTTATTTACCGCTCAAATCGCCGACATCATCAGGGTCACGGCTGCGCCGTGACCCTGATGATATATCTCTGATTTCGCGGTAAATAACTAATACATATTGGCTGGAAAGTTATCAAATAATGTAGATGCTATTTTGTAAAATTGCATTGATGTTGGTTAAAGAATTGGAGAGTTGGTATAAAAAAAGATGTTTTTCAGTAAATATTTTCAGGAGATTCTGTTGTTTATATATAAATTTATTTTTTTTGAAGAATTTTCTAACAAATAAATATTAAATTTATGCGTACAATTATACAAATAAAAATATATCAAATCAAAACAAATTATAATATTCTAATAAAATATCTTTATGAAAATAGAATATAGTTTTCACAAACGAAGATTTTATTATTTAATGATAGAACGCGCATAGTAGACTTCCTGCTAAGTAAGTCAGGAAGAAAGTATAAACTTTGTTAAATGTTTTCAAAAAGATCATTATTATAAAGATACTTATTGAGTTCTTCCTTGGGACTTACAATTTAAATCTTATATATATAATAAATACCAAATTATAAAGTCATTATAGTATTGCATCTTGATCCGTAATTGATTTAGCTCGCAAGAAAGTATTTTATGACCAAAAAATTTGGGGAAGAAGACCACGCCGTTGGTAACAACCACAACCACAACCACCACAACCATCACCAACAGCTTATGGGTATGTTAAGAGTCATCCATAACTGCATACTGATATACTGATTGCACAGGCGAGTAATCTCTCGCAGATTGTAACAATTTCGATTTTGCGTTTAATTTAGAGCCACTGATATAATGAAAATTATCAATGAATTATATTTAATACAATGACATGACTATATTTATATAATATACACTAAAATAAGTAAAATAAGTTATCCTTACATACAAATAAATTTAAAGCACCTGTATATTTTAATATTACCCGTAAAGTGGCTTTTATACCCACATTAAAATTAATACTTAACTGATGACTTGAAAAAATGAGAATTTCCCTTGAATTTCCTAATGTTGCTCGTAAAATTGAACAAAAGAAACTTTAAGGTTTTAAAACAACACTAACTTTATTATTTTTATTATATACACTATACAATTCTCCATCTGTCTTTTTCAACTTTAGTTGGATCCCTAAAATAAATTTAATCGATTTATCTTCTAAAATAATTTGAGCTTGATGGGTTCATATAAAAAAAAATAAAATAAAGTTTAACAGTTAGAACATTTTAAAACGAAATTTATTAGAAATTTCAAGCTTTATAAAATATGCGAGACGAGGAGCCGTTATATAGGCTCAAAACCTTTTTTACTCAAATTCTATAACACGATATAATAACGTAGCTCAAAATATTTGTGTCGTATATAGTTAAAGACCAGAAAAGGAAAAAAAGCAGAAACTTGTATTTGAAAAAAGTAATTTATATTTATTGCCGCTTAAACTTTATAAATTTCACTAACTTAATAAATTTATAAGTCATAAAGAAAATTGGCAGTGCATTAAACATTGGCTTATCAATATTAAAATTAACGAAGAAATTTCGTATTTGTTGTTTTTTAAATTTTTTATTTATTTAGGCACGTGACACAAAACATAAATCATTCATTCGAAATGTTTAATTCAACACTTAGTGCTACCTGTTCGTTTAGTATGGGGATTTTATTTTTAATCTCGGAAAATCACAACTTATCAATGATATTTTCGATTCGTTTTGCTTTTCATAAATGTACTGTATGTGTGTCACTATTGATCTCTCAAACCTATATGGAATGATTCCTGAGGAATCGTAAATCTTTACAAATTAATAAGACAAATGTTCAAATGAAAAACCATAGTATAAACCATTTCAGCTAATAATTACATAGTCACTTTACCTGTAATAAAGCGCAGTTTAAATTATATTTGTAAAGGTTCATCTTATATATTATATTAATTCCAACCTTTTAACACGTGTTCTATCATCATGACGAAAGAAGTCCCATGTTTGTGAGACCGATAACCGTAAAAATTGATGTTAAAATAATTACAATGCGATAATTGATTGATAAATTTTAAAAGAATCATTAACGA